CAGAAAAATATGCATGGAATAATTACTTGCAGTGAGTACTGAGAAGCAGTAACAACATCTTGGTAAGGTGTAAGGCCCTGAAATCTGAAATATACAAATAACATTATATCACACCATGCATATTTTGGCTAACATGTTTTGATGTGTTCTTGCATTTAATCAAACAATTTGCATTTTCTCCTTATGTTTCTGCAACGAAGTGTCAAGATTTTCTGCTGTTTCTAAAGTCATGCTATAAATTTTAGACATTTAGATGTTTCTTTAACTCCCAGCAAAACTAGGGTAGAAATTGATTTTGGCTGCTAGGAATTATGAAACTATGAAATATTGAGCTTCAACACAGTGGCATTTTGAATATCAGAGCATGGCAGAGAGAAGCTAATTATGTTATAGAACAGCAAAGCATTGGAAATAAAATAGTTGCTACTGCCTGTTCATAACAGATATGCCAAAAACCCAAAACAAACCCTCACATTTGAATAACTAGTGTTTGTATGTTTGTTTTAAATAGTTTTACTCATCTTTCACAGATGAATCTGGGATGGGGTACAATAAAACACCATAAAATCAAACAAACAGAGCGATATCTAATAATCCTATAAAACAAGGGCATATAATAAATGAAAACAGCAAGCCAGTACAGCAACAACAGCAACAATTAACCAGGTACCAAAACTAGTATATTAAAAATTATCTGTATGAATGTTGTTGTTGTTTAGTCGTTTAGTCGTGTCCAACTCTTCGTGACCCCATGGACCAGAGCACGCCAGACACTCCTGTCTTCCACTGCCTCCCGCAGTTTGGTCAAACTCATGCTGGTACCTTCGAGAACACTGTCCAACCATCTCGTCCTCTGTTGTCCCTTTCTCTTTGTATCCTCCATTTTTCCCAACATCAGGGTCTTTTCCAGGGAGTCTTCTCTTCTCATGAGGTGGCCAAAGTATTGGAGCCTCAGCTTCACGATCTGTCCTTCCAGTGAGCACTCAGGGCTGAGTTCCTTCAGAATGGATAGGTTTGGTATTCTTGCAGTCCATGGGACTCTCAAGAGTCTCCTCCAGCACCGTAATTCAAAAGCATCAATTCTTCGGCGATCAGCCTTCTTTATGGTCCAGCTCTCACTTCCATACATCACTACTGGGAAAACCATAGCTTTGACCATATGGACCTTTGTCGGCAAGGTGGTGTCTCTGCTTTTTAAGACGCTATCTAGGTTTATCATCGCTTTTCTCCCAAGAAGCAGGCGTCTTTTAATTTTGTCACTGTTGTCACCATCTGCAGTGATCGTGGAGCCCAAGAAAGTAAAATCTCTCACTGCCTCCATTTCTTCCCCTTCTATTTGCCAGGAGGTGATGGGGCCAGTGGCCATGATCTTTGTTTTTTTTATGTTGAGCTTCAGATCATATTTTACACTCTCCTCTTTCACCCTCATTAAGAGGTTCTTTAATTCCTCCTCACTTTCTGCCATCAAAGTTGTGTCATCTGCATATCTGAGTTTGTTGATATTTCTTCTGGCAACCTTAATTCCAGCTTGGGATTCATCCATTCCAGCTTTTCACATGATGTAGTCTGCATATAAGTTAAAGAAGCAGGGAGACAGCCTTGTCGTACTCCTTTCCCAATGAATGAATGAATTCGCTATGTATGAATACATAGTGGCAAAAAAAAAGTGCTTGGAATGAACTTATTCATTTGAACAAAGTTCATTGAACTAAGTCAAAGATCTCTGAACTGCACCTGAAAGTAGTTTCCATAATTGTTAGGTGAACTAAATGGAAATAAAGTTCATTTGCGGGGGGGGGGTGTCAAAATTTTAATGATTTCTATTTCATCTTCATGTTAATTTCCTCCCTGCCCTGAGCAAGGCCCCTGGACTCAGCTTTCATTGGAGGGTTGGGGAAGTCAATTGCAGAGAGAGAGAGAGAGAGTTAGGAAGCAAAATGTGGAGGGAAGAGTCTAAGGTTTATTGGGCAGATACAGAAGCTTAGTCATTTAATTGCTGCTGCTAAGCAATCAGAAGGAAGAAAATGAGGCATTTCCTATATCTTCCCTGCTGAAGAAATAACACTGTCTTCTAACAGGAGCAACTTGCAGCAAGAAGCAGGGTGTGGGGATGGTGCCTTGTGCCTTTAACAGCTTTGTGGCTGGCACAAACTAAACAGAGTAAGCCGTTTCTATAATGGAAATACAAATATGAGGAAAGCTTCACCGGCTGACATTCTGCCTAACATCATATTACCAGTGTGTGGTCTTTGATTTACTTTTGAACCCTATGCTGCTGAAATATGGGGGGGGGGCTGCTGCTGCTGAAGATAAACTTTAATTGAACGAGTTTGTTTTGTAAAATGGCAAACTGGAATTGGAACTAATTCCTTTTTGGACAGGTTGAACTTGAAGTAATTCCTTTTCAAAAATAATTTTCCTAGCACTGGTAAAATCTAATAAGAGTCTTGGCTGCCAGCCATAACTCAGAAGGGGGGGTGATCCATAAATGGGGGGGGGCAGCATGAAGATGGTCCTTTGCCATGTGGCATAATATGGGGGTGCCCTTTTATGGGCTTATGCAAATATTTCTCAGGCAGAAGGACCACCAGTGAGCGACAAGGGCCTTCTAAATGCCCATAGCCATTTCTACTTGAATCTTCCCCTGGGTTTAAAGCAAGATTTCTGGACTGGGCAGAGAAAGAGGGAGCTGGGATAGTGTGTGCTGTGAGCTTTTTGTAAACACTCAAATTGCAGTGATAAAACATTTCCTCACTTGAATCCCTAAAAAACCCAAGTCCTCAGGTTCCAAATCAAAAAACCCAATCCTACATCCAGCACATCACCTCATGAAATGATACTGTGAGACAGTTTACATCACAGCATCTGCCGTACATTTAACAGTTCACAGGAGCAGCCCATACTCACTCCCACAGGAAACAGAATTAAGAATGAGGCAATTGAAATGGAAACATGTTGTAAACAGCATTAACTTGCAAGGGTACTGTGCCTAAGTGGCACAGAGCCAATTTCAAGTCCCATAACAACACAACATCTGCAAATATTGAGCATAGTGTAAAATAAAAAAAATGTTGGTTTTCCTAAAAAGAGTCAAGTGAAATGACAAGATAGTCTTTGTTGAGGGGTGGGGGGTTGGAGGTAAAAGGGTGCTAAGTAGTAAAAGGACTATAAATTAAAGGGTTTCATATATCACTGAGATTATGAGATTGCTTCTTGTAACCAAAAGTCCCAAAGTGATTTACAATAATACAATACAGTATTTAAAATACAGAAGCATTAAAAATAGTAAAATGTAGAAACATACTTGCTAACTAAAGTTTGTAACAGTTGCATAGCGCTCATGTGACTAATGACAAATATATGTTTCTATAAGGTTTTGTGTGTTTATATTTTTTAAAGTTTGTGAGGATCGAGGGAAAATGGAGTGTTACTCGGCAGAAAAAGAAAAAGGAAAAGAATGAAAAGGAATTGAATAAACTAGTAACCTGAACAAGATCTCAAACCATTTTAGTGATTTAAACATTGGAGCCGCAGCATGTAATTGAAATAGGAACTAGTGGTTATTACATTTCCTCTGCTATTGAGGCAACTCTTAGAATAGTCTTATTTGTTAAGGCCATTGTGGACAGCTTGCATATCAAAGGCCCACTTTGAAAACCTGTTACAGACAAATCTGTCAGTCAGAATGCCTTCAATTAGCTTTAGATTTGTGTGGCTATGGATTTAATTAGAGAGCGGAGGGGATGTACCAAATTACTGTAAATCACAATGTGACGGTAATGCTCTTGTTTGGAACAACCGAGTGCAAATAATCGCTTGGCTTTCAAGCACTCTTGTCAGAGCAAGACATTTTTTTTCAGTTCATTTCCTTTGCTCTTGTAACATCACCAGTTTCATTGCTGTCGTCTTAATATTTACTCATGTTTCAACATTTGCTTATTCCCATCCTAGCAGCAGATGATCTAAACTGGGTACCTAAATGCTCTCGAGGTTTTTAATGGCTCCCCACCACCACCAAAGACAAAGAACAAAGTATGGAGGAAATACGTGTGCAAGTAAAAGTCCCAATGTTTAGGATCAGTGCCAGTCTTCTGGAAGAGGGCAGCACTTGGCACTGGTGCCAATGATGCCCCCAACAACCCCCCCCCAAGAGCAGGACCACCAGGGCAGAACTCAGTCCTGCCACCACTGCTTCTTGGGTGGCAGACAATAACCAGTGTCCCCCACACCAGGGTCCCGCTTGGAATCAAGCTCTCTGAGCCTACAATTTACTTTTAATAGGCAATTCATGCATTTACTAATTGTGAGAAAGATGGTGTTTCTAGTTTTTCCCTGACATAAGAGTGCACAGGCTTGCAGCTTTGTTGTATGTATCTAATGGCCATCTTGGATTTTGCTGGGAATTTTTCTTCTCCTATCAGAAGTTTCCCACACAGAGAAAAATCTTAGAGTACCTCTGTATGGGGGAAACAGTTGCAGCAAGTGTGGGATCCTGTTACAAGCTACATGCAACATGAAGTAGGCGCATGATCCCTTAACTACATGGCACAGTCATTGAACCACATTCATAGCATTCCCATTTGGTTTTTTTTAAAAAAACAGCCTTGAATTCAGGCTTTGGGCTGGATAACACCCTTGCTATTCCAATATTGGAGGTCATATAACTAGGACTAAATAAATTACTGTATGCAGCAACTTTGAGAGCCTCATTGCACCCCTTAGGCAACCTGTTTCCCTGTTTGTAATACTTCTTTAAAAGTCAGAGAGACTTTTCGTTGCTGGAACAGAACAGTCCTGAACACTCTTAGTCACAAACTGGTAATGGGAAACCTTAACTCTCCGCATGTAAACTGATCATGAAGCACAGCAGGAGATGATTTACAGAAGCAATTGCTCAACACTTCAAGTGGCACTTTTTTTTTTTTACTGTGGTTCTCCGAAAAACTAGTGCTGGTATATGGAGAGGCTGAACTGAGTTCTAAATAACACACGAGGGAAGGCAACAAATCACCAGAACAGAGCTAACAGGACAACAGCATCACTATTGCATCAACCACAATATTGTGATTAATTCAGTCCCCAACTGAAATGAAGGTCGCAAACACGATGGCTGATATTTGAACAAAATGAGAAAAGTACCTGAGGAACCCTAAGGATGACAAATAAAGGAAATAAATTCTCAGGGTGGCCTTGAGAACTATTTAAGGGTGGACATAAGCCAGCGATGGGGAATCTCAGACACCTGGTCGTTGGGAGCTCACCAAGTCATAATCTCTTATCAGGCCGCACCCTTGCCTTATCTACCATGCATCTTCCTTAAGTGTTTTGTGCCTGGCTGGAATGTGACCTTGGGAATCTGTTAATACCTCTTGGTTGCCTGGACAGAAGATGGAGAGGATGTGTAGACACCAGCCTGCAGTACAAAGGTAAAATTCAACTCTTCCCATATTTGCCTCTGGCCTTGCCGACTGACATATGACCCCAGACGCTTATCACATGGGAATGTGGCCTTCAAGCAGCAAATGTAGAAAGTAAGGAAGAGGCATTTAGTCACGGCAATAGCGGTACAAGCTCAGCAGTAAGCACCAAGCTCCAGAAGTCAAGATTTCAAGGTACGTAAGCAAGGCAAGGGGTTCATCACTAAATGGAAACTATGAAGATGTATCAATGGTTGACACACCCCTCTCACCCAGCATTCAAAGGTAAGATGGGATGAGCTCAATCATGGGACTCTCTAGCCCTGTGAATCTGCTGCATGTGGGTAGAGACCATCTTGGCTGTGAGTCCTGGAAGATGTGCTCCCTGCCTTGCAGGCCTTTTCCACCTGTCTGTCTCTAGCTACAAAAGCTGAGGCTGCTGAACAGACCCTTGGGTTGGGGTCTTGTTTATGGTTTTTTGTTGGGGGAGGGTGTTGTTGCTTTTGTTGTTATTAATCTTTTGTAGCTTTATTTTAGATCTTCTGATTTATGTGGAAATTGTGCAATTTGGTCCTGTATTTTCCCATGCTTTATTTATTGTTTTGTGATTACTTTCATTATGTTTGTAATTGTGTGATTTTTTTTCATGTTGCAAGCCACCTTGGGCATGATTTGAACTATGGAAAGGCGGCATACAAATGAAATTATGTATGCATGTATGTTTGATCTCACCAACAATGTTGTGCTTGGTCCTGTCAACAAGGTGGTGTCTTGCCCTTCTGCCTCTGTCTCCTCTGCCAGCTCCTTTCTTTCCCTCTGGCTGGTTGAAGTCCCCATCCCTGATGAGGCTCTGTGCTCTACCTAAGGGGTAGAAGAGAGAGTCTCCCTATCTGACATCTAGATTCACCAGGGAACAAACTCTTTCCTCCATCCCTGAGTGCCAGCCTTTCCAACCTCCATCTCCTCCTTCCTTCTGCTGTTCCTTGTCCACCAGATTCTGATGGAGCTGAGGGGCCCAGGGCAATGAGTTCAAATCCTGCATATCCAGGGTCTTAATTCATGGACAGAGAGTATCCCCACTTCAGACCCTTTCCTCTAATTCATGGAAAGTGCTGCTGGGGGTGCAACAGATGAAGAGAGGTCATTGAATACAACTCTGATGTCCACCTCACATGATTCTGAGCACCTGAGTGACTGAGTGCCCAGATAGTGTTGATGCAAGAAGCTAATTCCTTTTTGAAAAGTCATGATTCAACTCCTCTCCAAATCAGGAGTTATTAAAAGACCTAAATCTTGTCTGCTTGCACTTCACCTCATAAGACTTTAAGATGCTTCATAGTCATATTTTCTATCATATGCAGTCATTGTAGAAAAATGAGACATCTAAGAATATATATGCTTGTATTCTCTAATGCAGTTGATCATATTTGCAACTTTTATGGTGCAGGTATTTGCCTATGAATTCCTCCCACCCAGTCATTGTACTGTCTGGGAATTCCAAATGTCCTTATTAATGTTTTTAAAAATTACTAAGTCTGGTGCATAGGGTTAAAATACACCCTGGGAATGTGATAATGAACGTCTCTTGCTAGCCTTCACAGAAGATGTGTGTGGCAAAAGAAACTTCTGACTTGCACACCCTCCAACATATCACAGCAAAAACCAGGCTGCACATATTCCAGGCCGTGCTGCCAAGTAAGTCACGTGACCCGCACAAGAGTACAGAGACCCAAACCGTGTGTTTTGGGGTGCCGTGCTCTCATGTGAGAGCAATGCACCCCAAAACAGGATGCCCCACTTTAATTGGGACAGTTGAGAGGTATGATGTAGCCCCCTCTACAAATCAGTAACAACCATTGCTCCTCCCACTTTTGCCTCTGGTCATGCCCACCATGGGCATGTGACCCTGGAGGAAATGCCGCCATTGGACGAATAAAGGTTCCCTACCCCCATTTTACAGAAGGCTGCCTGTCAGTATGACAGGCTTACGGATGCTATCAGGGCAGGAATTTAGAGCAAAAGTCTAGGGCCCTACTCATCAGGATGAGAGCCCCCTAATGCAGCAGGTCTGGCTTACCTCCTTTTGAAGGAAGTGAAGCAACCCACATTTCCACCCAAGGGAGGGCTGTAAAGCCATTAAGTCCAAAGTCTGAAATTACCTGCCTACACCACTCAGAGTGTAGTAAGGCTGGAAGTAAATAAGTAACAAGGGCAGGGGCTATCACCATGTTAGGTCAAAGCTGGGGTGATCTGTCCTGGGAAAAGCCTAGCCCCTGCTTACAGCAGTATCACAGTTCTCATAATAAGTTGGGATGAGTGAAGAGGTGCAACCCTGTCAATTTTGACCAAATTTGATTTTGGAATCCCACAGCATCTATAAAATTATAGAGTACTGACACTCCCAAAACCATAGTTTTATGTAGGGAAAGGGTTGTAGCTTAAGGGTGGAGCATCTGCTATGGACGCAGAAGGTGCGAGGTTCAATCTCCAATACTCTAGGTAGGTCTGAAACCCTGGAGAGCTGCTGGCAGTCAGTGTAGACAGTCCTGAGCTAGATGAACCATTGGTTTGATTCAGTATAAGGCAGATTCCTAGGCTCCTTCACTGTGCAGTAATTTGATAATGTGCCTGATCACGTGAATGTATCCTCTGTGGCAGTTTTGAAAACAGACTCCTTTTTATTATTATTTCCAGCTACATAACATTGTATTTAGCAGATTTGTTCTTGCCTCAGGGGCCTGGGCGCAATTCATGAACCAATTAAATTAAGGAAGAGGGGGAGGAAAGAAACAAAGAGGGAGAGGTAAACTCAAACAGCATAGAAACCCAAGGCAGAGAAGAGCCTGTGCCTTTGAGAATGCAGCCCATTTCATTAATTCACAAGTAACAGAATATCCTTTCAAGCCAGCTTTTTAAAGATAAAATAAAATCAGGAAGTCTCATACCTGCCAATCATTCTGTGCCCTGTGTCATGTGTTTTGTAACCTTATACATCCACAACATTATGCATATGGGAGTCAAGACAAGTTTTAAAGTACATACAGTGACTCCTGAACTTCTACACCCTTTTGGACAAGTATATGTACAATGATTTCTGTTCAGTGCATCCCCTGCCTGCCCTTTCTTCCTGGGATCATACACTGGAACTTGCCAGACTTATCACAAACATCGTAGGGACACATGTTGCATCTGATTGCCGTTGATCCGTATGCCGAGAGAAGGAAAATTCAAGGAATTGAGATCTCTCTGGTTTTCTGCTAATCTGTGCTGTTAAGGTGTATTTGTAATGAGATTTTGCCCTCCCATTCTTCATACGCTGTGAGGTGCTCCAAAGTGAAATCTGGTAACATGACCAGTAGTGATATATTCCTTGCTTTTTGGCCATTTAACTCAGACATTTATGGGTGTGAAGGTGTGTTAGTGTGAACGAGTATATACATGTGTCACAGAGAAACAGCAGAAGGAACAAAATGCAGCATCTGTGAGTCAAGAACTGAGCCAGCTGTGAGTGTTCATGCCTATTCAAAAAGACATATTAGGCTTGTCTGTGAAGTGACTTCTGTGATCTTATCTTGTGAATGAGACCAACAAATCTCATAGATCTGGCTCCTAAGGACGTGGTGGCAAGGGAGAACAATGTGTACTGAACTAAGGAAGGCACACTCCACATGGATCTCAACCTCTGGATCTTATGATGAATGCCTCCTAAATTTCTATCGCAGAGGTGAGAATGAAGACAATTTGTTTTAACTCAGGGAAGGGCTGTCTGATGTGGCAAAGATGCAACAACTGACAACCAGAACCATTCTCTTAGCTTCACAGCATTTGGTTTTGCCATTATTAGCAATACTGAGAGTCCAACAACGTATTACATTAAATGCATAAAAAACATTGAATGATACACGGAAGCTCTTTTCATAAAGAAGCTTGCCCGTGGTAAACATAATACTCAGTGTAACAGTGGTGAGCAGGAGCCTGACTTTGGAGAGTGAAGGAAAACACCGGGTCCTTTCAACATGCTTTTCCTCTACACATGAGTAGCAGGTGGAGAGGGCTAATAACCAAGGCCAATCCTAAATTATTAAGCTGAAGCCTTTTCTAATCAAGAGCAAAAATTCCTTTTGAAGATCAAATTACCCTTTATGGAGGCTGCGGTTACAATAGCCACAAGGCTTAAGCACTGAGGTTGTCTCAAGGAAGGGAAATTACAGTTTTGAAATCTCATTAGAATAATTATCCAGCGTTGCCTGCTCCTTTTGCTAGCTCCAGGCATCCATAATCCTCGGCTACTTTTGATTTTGATCTCTATGTCCTTCACTCTGTGCCCCCTCTGCCCGAAAAGGATTTGCTAAAAAGAATGAAAGTTCTTGTTGACTAATCTTCATCCAGGTATGAGTCCCTGGTGGCCCTATGCAAAACATCTCTTAGGGCACACACCAAGATTTGTTTTGTAACTATGATTAAAAAGCTTACATTACGCTTCTAGCAAAAGAAACGTAAGATCACTAAAAAGAAAAAGTTAATTGGCAGTTGGAAGGGGTCTTTCTTTTTTGCATGAATGTGGTTTTTTTTTTACCACATTACGATCATGAAATGGGTTATAAGTAGTTTCTAAGCAGATGTAGAATTGCTGAAATTCAGTCCTATTTGATATGAAGGAAATGTTCTTTGCTGTACATCTTCTCTTTATATACTGATACTACTAAAATGTAATCTTGCTTTCAAGGATAAGCAACAAACCACAACGTATCACATCATTAAAGGTAAAGGGACCCCTGACCGTTAGGTCCAGTCGCGGACGACTCTGGGGTTGCGGTGCTCATCTCGCTTTATTGGCCGAGGCGTACAGCTTCCGGGTCATGTGACCAGCATGACTAAGCCACTTCTGGCGACCCAGAGCAGCACACGGAACCGCCGTTTACCTTCCCGCCAGAGTGGTATCTATTTATCTACTTGCACTTTGACGTGCTTTCGAACTGCTAGGTTGGCAGGAGCAGGGACCGGGCAACGGGAGCTCACCCCGTTGTGGGGATTCGAACCGGCGACCTTCTGATCGGCAAGTCCTAGGCTCTGTGGTTTAACCCACAGCGCCACCCGTGTCCCACATCACATCATTAGGTGTGATGAAATCCTATTACCGTATTGGCCCGAAAATAAGCCGCACCTTTAAAATTGGAGGAGGGGAAAGAAAAAATGAATAAATATCTGAATATAAGACCCTCCCTTCTCCGCTGCTCCTGGCTGCATACTGGGGGGGGGGGGAAGCCGCACTGCGTTGCCGGCGGCCTATCCCCTTCCTCGCTCTCTCCTTTCCTGGCCTTGGAGGAGAGGATGGGGGACTACGCACAGGGTGGGCGCTGCTTCGCTGTGCTCCTGGCGCTGTTTGTCCTGTGCTCCTGGCTGCATACCGTAAGGTCACAAGTATAAGCCACACTTTAACTTTACACGGTCAGAATTTGAGGGGAAAGTGTGGCTTATATTCAGGGCAATACGGTAATTTCAAAGTGTGCATAACTGTGTACTGAACTATGGTGAATGAATACAGGCTGCCTAAACAGTCTAAACAATCACAAAAAGGAGATCCATGGAGAACAAATATGAACCAAGACATGCCCCCAAAAAACTCACGTGAGCTTTTTATTCATGCATTGCAGAATCTCATTCAAAAGTCTCATTCATTTCAGTTCTGTTGGCAAGTCAGAGTATGCTGCCAAACAGCTGCTCCATTGTTTTCCATAAATGGGTGCACATGTAACCAGTGAATGCTAAACCCACTTCTGCCGTTACTGAATTTCCTCCTTTTGACTCTGCCTCTCTTAATATAAGATGTGAATTAATTAGCAATGTAGATTTTTAATCCAACGCACCCACTTCTGATTAGGTTTGGAGAAAGCAACAACTGCCAATCCAATGCTTTGCATTGTGCCAAAGACCACTGCTGTAGCACCTGGTACAAGTACAATCAATATTTTCTTATTCCTGGCCAAGCTATAGACCTTCACACTTAATATTCATTTTTTGTAATAAAATAAAAATCTTCTTTTGTGATTACAGTCTTGCCCTGATGCAAAGAGGTTTCTTGGCCCTTTGGGCATGTAAATGAAATGAATTAACAAAAATCCTTTTGCTTAACGGGCTACTCTGTTAGCAGTTTTGAAAAATTTTAGGTAAGCCTAAAGAGACTTGTAAATATATTGCATATACCTGTTCTTAAACTCTGTTGATTTTATCTATATTTTGGTAATTTTATTTTGTCAACTTGTTTTTAAAGTCTGCTGGTTTTATTGCTATTTCCTTATAAATATTTTATACTGTTTTACGTAAATTACTTCAGGGGTGTTTTTTTTAATTAAGTGGTCTATAGATTCCAATAAATAAATAAGAGTAAGATGTACTCAACCACAGTGAAACCTTTCCCCTGTGTTTCTGTGTGAGTTACTGTTCTGGGTACTTTTATTGATTAGAAATAGCTTGGAGCAGTGATTTACACAGAAACGCAAAGGTAGTAATACACTTTGCCTTCCCTCAAACAAATTGGGTTGATTCAGATTTTCCAACTAAGTGCTCAGAAATGTTGAGGTTTTTAAAGTGTTCAGATGAACTTTAAATTGCCCCAAAGAGGACTCCCATCATTTGCAAGCACAGATTATTGGGAAATAGTGGAAGCAGTGCATGAATCCCAATTCGAATCGGAGCAAGCTTAAAGGTTGCTTCCCCCAACTTCAATTAGATCTGCCTTGCCTGAGAAGGTGCCCTCACACCACTTTCCCAACATTATTATGCTGTATCTCTACAACTGCCTGAATGATCCAAATGCACAGATGCAGGGATGTGATGGAGATACTTACCCTTGACAGAGACTGATAAGAATGGGGCAGGGCAAATGAATCACGCCAAGGACACTGAAGACAGCCTTCTTTGTGCATGGATATTTTGGGCTCCTGGGAATCTTCATTTTATTGATCAACTGTCATACTTAGGGTCCTATGGATTTCTTCTTCTTTTACATTAGCTTAGCCAGATGGGAATTGTTAAAGTCCGTCCTGCAGTCCTCAGGAATAGGGGAACCCCCAAACCATTCAACATTGAAGCTCCTATTCATGAACTAGGGCTTATATCACACCAGCAAAATAGCCAAATGTAGAACCTCCCCCAATGGGAGTCCCCCAAAGGACACCACCAGGGAACATTCCGAAGGAAAACTCTAGTTCAAATCATGCTGTTCAGGGTAGCCACATCTGCAAAGAAGATTTGGAGAGTTTATCTTTCATTTGTAGAGTGAATGAATTGCCACCATATTGCACGTGCAATTTGTCTGATTTTTCTGTTTCTTTTATCACTTTTGATTTGTGAATAATTTCTCAGTGGTGGCCAATTGCCAAACTTTTTTGAGCCATAAGTCCAGGGTTAGTCCTTGTAAAGCCTTCCAGATTTGAACTGTAGATAGTTGAGAAGTCACTTTTTTAAATAGCCAAAAAATCCTTAGTCTTAACAACAGCATTTGGGTGTTCAAAGATGGTAGCATAAACAAATCTGGGGTGAGAAATCCATAGGCTTCTAAATTATTTTGGATGTTTCCGAGGATACTAGTCCCCAAAATGCTTGCATTAGTGGGCAACTCCACTATAAGTGATAAGTCCCCTTCATGCCACATAGCCTCCAGCACCATAGTTGGAATGTTGGCAATATATCGGCAAGCTGAACCAGAATCTGGTACCACCCAAAGGTATTTTCTCTAATATACGCAGAGGCAGGTTTTTACAGGGCTTGTAGGCTTTTATTCTCCATTGTGTCTCGTCTATGCCTCGTCTATGCCTTGTTCTAAATATCCCTGAAAAAAGTTTGGGAAATACTATATATATATGTGTGTGTGTGTGTGTGTGTGTGTGTGTGTGTGTGTGTATGGTGTTCTCATGATACCAACAGAAAAATCTGTAAAGTTTAATAAAGCAACACAATCTTTTAATACCTCAGAAGGTTAACTTCTTTCTTTTCTTCTTTTTAGGGAGGAGACAGTAGGTCAAGTGAGGATAAAGATGGACACCTCATCTGCTGGGTGATAGCAATGATAAACCTGAATAGCTTTCAGTTTCTTCAGTATATGCATCTGAAGAAAAGAAAAGCAGAAAAGAAAGCCAACTGACAATGTGATTGCCTGCAAAAAGGATTTTTGGGGAAATCATCTCCCAGTTCCATTTCTCCAGTGAACTGAACATAGCAGATGAAAAAGAGGTCACAAATTTATGAAACGGCATGGTCTTCCAGCCAGACATCAATACCCGTAGAAAGATTTGCAGTGTTAAAAGCTCAGAGCCAATGTATTCAGTGGACAGGACTTTTGGACTAAGACCTAGGTTCATGATCCATTCAAATATTAAGTTGATTAATGTCTTTGGTGTCACTTCTTATTAGTTCTCTTATTTGCAAAGTGAAAATGTGCACATTTGCAAGGTTGTAACGAAGGTTAATATTGTAATGTGTAAAAAGCATACCCACACACTGCAGAAACTCTTACTGTGCAAGTTTCAGCATTTTTCTGAATAATTCATCTAACAGTGTCCCGGGAAGTGTGCAAAGGACTTCAGCTTAGGCCTGGGATTTCTGACTTCCTTCCAAAGAGCTACAGATGAGTTCACATTAGGGATGGACTGATCTGTCAATGTTGGTTTCTCTCAATTTATCATTCAAATTTAAATTCAATTTAAAATCAATTTAAATTCAGTTTGCCACATTTCTGCATCAGTCTTATTTTTGTGAACCTTTCTCCTAATCTATACACATTTTTAAGCAATTTTGTTTAACATGTTTTGCAAAAAGGTTGAATATTATTTTCACAACCATGTGCAATAACGACTATTATATTCACTACTATGTGCATTTTTATGCACACTTTCCCTTAATATGGACACTTTTTGTGGTTGGAGATTGTCATCACAACTTTCAGAGAAGTGCAACTATTGAGCAACATGCAAACACATGAACCTTTACTTCATTGATTTTTTGGAAGCCACTCCAAGGGCACCTTTGTGTGTGACTTCTACCCACATCCTCTCCATTGTTTGACTTCTGAACTGGAATTTGCAGGAAGTGCTTTGTGAAGCAAGGGGAACATCTCCTATACAGCTATATAAAGGGAGGAGAGTGTCAGGGGAGTGGGCAAGAGGGAAAGTGTCAGTTTTCTTTTCCTCCCTGAAACAACCCTGTATAGTGTTGAGACGAGAGGTTCACTTCATAACACATATCCTCCCAACCATGGGTTCTCAGTGTTCAGCTGGCCATGGGAAACAATTGAGAAATCCAGGATTTCATCATGGCTGTGACTGGCCAACAGCATGTATTTTGCTTTCAATGTGATGCCGAAAGCAATGGGATGGTGTCAGGGACCGTGCAAAGGAGGGCGGCACTGAAGAGGAATGGGGGGGGAGCCTCCCCCTGCTCCTAATCAGGATCCTGACTCTTCACAGGAGCAGTGGGACAGTATAGATTAGGAACAATGGTTTGCAGAGGGACATAGTTCCGAAGACAGAAGTTGGGAAAAACTGGGGGGGGTGAACATTAGGAGAAGAGCTGGGAGAGAAAGAGAGTTAACAGACTCGGTGCCGCTGGAAAGTGTCAATCTGCTCAGCCCAAGGTCAAGGAGAGCAGATAAGGTGGCAGCACAGAAAGCACAGTGGTTGGAGGTCAGGTTGAAAGACACGGAAGTGACATGGGGAGGGGAAGTGGGGGGAATCCTTAATTGGGAGCACCTGACAGTTACTATAGATAAGCTCATCTTCCATCAATATTCTGTAAGTCTTGGAAGTTCCTAGGTCCATTTGAGGAGGTTTGAGGGTCTTATCTTAAGCCTATATTCCTCTGCATGCTTAGAGACAGTGTATAGAAACCACAGTCTTGTTTTTAAAGGTAAAGGGACCCCTGACCATTAGGTCCAGTTGTGGCCGACTCTGGGGTTGCGGCACTCATCTCGCTTTATTGGCCGAGGGAGCTGGCGTACAGCTTCTGGGTCATGTGGCCAGCATGACTAAGCAGCTCACAGAAACGCTGTTTACCTTCCCGTCGGAGCAGTACCTATTTATCTATTTGCACTTTGACGTGCTTTCGAACTGCTAGGTTAGCAGGAGCAGGGACTGAGCAACGGGAGCTCAACCCGTCGCAGGGATTTGAACCACCGACCTTCTGATCGGCAAGTCCTAGGCTCTGTGGTTTAACCCACAGCGCCACCCGCGTCGCAGTCTTGTTTTTAGGTCGCCCCTATTTTCACTGATAGGGACTAAACTGGCCACATTCACTATTGGAAAGGATGATTCCACAAGTGCCCCTGCATTTTCCCCCTCTACCGCCCCCAACACACACAAATACAGAACTGTGTGTGTGACCCGCTTTCACATGGCTCTATCCAATGAGACAGAGACAGATATGTGATTACCACAATCTCAAAGGTGAGAACAGTCACAAAGATTTTGGGGTTTGGCTAGGTCCAAGAGCTTTACTTTTAGATACACTACGGGTGCTTCTGTGATCACTTTCAGGTTCATCTGTGTCTGTGATGACACCACAACAAGAGTAAGATTAATTATCCCCTCCTAGATCTGCCTCACCAGTCCTGACAACAATATTGGCAATCGTATGCTGGCTGTCAGGCTCTTGTGGCTCCACTACCCCTCCAGTTCCTCAACCAGAAAATGAATGATCTTCACTGTACTCTTAGCAAAAAATAAAATGCACACTTCCATATGCTGCTATTTCGACTAACTGTTTCAACGTAAACATTCTATTTTTGAATCTGTGGAAGTGCCGTGCACTTTTGCAAAGGGAGAGCACCCCAACGGATGATATTTCAAGTGTTTTCATACCAATTAAATTGGTATGAAACTCTCCTCCCATGAGATCAGCAAAGATGACAGGAATAAGCAGAGGGCAAAATAAGTTCTCTCAACCTACAGTGACAAAACGTAGCTGCTTTGCGTGAGTGAGATTTAAAGAGGAATAAGAAAACTGGGAGTGTTTAACTTATATCTAGACTGGGATCAGGTTGGAGGCTTCCAAAGAGGGATTGGGGAATGGGACTAAAGGGGGTGCCTACAGTCAAAAAGAAAGAGTCCCACAGAACTCAAGGCAGTTCTAGACTGTTGCCATTTCCAGGTGACATTCAGTCACATACCAGCATGTGCACAAAGTTCTGCCCAACATTGTGTGTGCCCAGCATGCATGCATGATGTCATGCATGCTGGGCGTGACATCACATAGTGGGAAGACCCCCAGCATGCCCTCTGAAAGGCCCACTGGGGCCTGCTGCAGCTGCCATGGGCTCTGACGGGCCCTTCCACTGCTGTGATGAGCTCAGACAGAGTCCGCTGTTGCATAGGGAGGGCCCGACGGAGCCCACCACAGCCAGGGGAGTTCCTGACAGAGTTTGCCCGGCTGTGAAATATTGATGGGGCCCAGCCTCTACATTGAAAATTTGTGTAGGTGTCAGGCCTAGAAGGCAGGTGTGGGAGCCATTTGCACCTGGGCTGCATCTACTCAGCTATTAAAAAACGCTCTGAAAATGCTTGGGGGGAGGGGAACCCCATTTTAAAGCTTACAATGGAAAATTTCATAGAGCTTTTATTTCAGCTCTATAGCACCATCTGGTGTCAGTGTTATAACACATTTATAACTATACTAATGTAGCTGAGTCCCTACTCTCAAATGTTGTCTCAGAGGCCACTTCAACTTTTTAAAAAACCATGGGGTGGGTTTGGAAATTATGCAATGAAACATCTCATATAGTTTGAGCCCAAGGCTTGGATCCAATCTAACGAGCTAACTTGGATTTTGTGAGCTGCAGCATCCTAGCCCTCTTTAAGGGGAAGAGGATAAAAGCAGCAACAGGGTCCCTGCAATTAATAAGTCTGAACCCTCTGGTTTAATTGAGCTTTCCATACAGTTTGAGCATGAAGCTTGCACAGGACTTAGTGAACTACTATGAACTTGGTCTATAAGTGCTAAGTGCCTTGCCTTCTGCTCTTGCCTAGAGTGACCATGTCTGCTTCTTTCCTGAATGAGTCCTCTGTTTGAAGGGCCATCTGGCTTAAATCTAGTTCAAGTCTGGATAAAGGGCCATATGAAGGGAGACCAGGTGACTTGAACTTGCCCAAGTTAGTACACAGACAGGCAGCTGAGCAGGCACCAACATCAGAGTAAACAAATCTAGGATGATGCTGTAAAAATCATAAATCACACACACACACACACACACACACACACACACACACCAAAGTGCATTCCATCCTGAGTCACTCCTCTGTCACAGAACTTTTTGTGTGTCACTCTCATGGAGGGAGAAAAATAATCACATTTCTATGCACCATTCTCAAGCTGTCAACTCCAGCCTGCGGAGACCATAATACAATGTCAAAACAAAAATGATGCTAATTCAATACTGTGGCAGCACCATTACGCCTGTCAAGGTGGGATGAGGCAAACTGATGTCAATTCAGAATTCTGAAGGCCAGGATAACAGTGTCACGGTGAAATTGTATCAGAATGAGTTATTCAAACAATTGGATAGGGGAGTAGAAGTGTCCCAAGTGGTGCTGGTTTCGCAGCTTGTATAAAATTCATAATTTTACTGACCTCAAACTGTCCCATCAAAGCCAGCCAGGGACACTGGGGATTGAGATCTTTGAAAAGCATCCGTTTGCATGGCCTTTAAAGGTTCTTGTTAATAATATGGATGCATAATCTGCTCTTCAAGAATATTCCTCGCCAAGTAGCTTGCAAACATGAATACAATGCAATCCATAACATATAAAATCATTAAAACACACACACACACGTTTAAATGTTGGCTTACACTGCAAGGCACTTGGGCTCATGATGCATGCAATGTTAAGAATCTTTGCCCAGAAGAACCATGCAATTCTGGCAAAGGTTTTATGTGGGCCATTTCATACATCACTCAGCAAGAAACGGGTCTGATCTGTGAACATATACTTAGGAGAGATTCTGACTAGTATACTTGGTTGAACCAATACACATAGTCCAAGGCAGAACTTAAAGATTAGATAGCATACGATAGGAAAAACATGCCCAAGAGACTGCAGAGCTGCTGCCAATCTTACAATGCTGAACCACATAGACCAGTGGTATGACTCAGTATGAGTCAGCTTTCCGTGTTCATATGGGATGCAACTCCAGCAGGCGTCTTTTCCCCTGTTTCAGGGACTCATCATATGAAGCCTCTCTGATCCAGATGTAGGCAGCAGCAGTGAGAGGTGGGAGAGACTCATACATACACAGATAATGGAGGAAGCCAGCAGGACTCAAACATGCCAGCTCTGGAGGAAAGCTGCCTGAATGTGAGGCAGAGGTCAGGTCCATTGGGGCTCGCACCATTCTCTGACACCCAGAAAGGGTACCCAAGGAAGCAAAAAAGAGAGAGGTGGCATCCATTTGACTCCAGTACAATCCATCGGCACAAGACAAACAACCTTTGTATCCAATCAACATGTACACAAACTATGATGGGAGAATAACTGGGGAGGAACTTGTATCTTGCTAGTGCCTCGTTAGGAAGTCCAGTCCCTGTCTGGAGAACTCTTTGAGTCTCTGGGTTTATTTTCTCACTCAAAAGCTAACCCACTGATTTTCCTTAGGCATACTGGTGTGTCTGGAGAGCTGAGCAATCCTTGGGCTGAATCTGACACTTTCAAACAAAGAAGTCTGACACCATCATGAAAAATTCATGCCGCTCTAATCACCACAGGGCATTTTCTTCAGTTCGTTGGATCAATAGCATGGCATCTTTTCAGGTATCTCGATGCATGCTTTCATCTCTTTGGGGCAAAGAGAGCAACAACTGCTTCTGAGTCACTGAGTTGGGCTGAAGAGAAGCTCTGGAGCCAACTTGGCTCTGAGATAAGCAGTCACTCTCTGCTTATCTTTTTCAATATGGGATACAGACCATGAGGGGAGAGTTACCGAAAGATTGCACCAATGGGCACCAGCATCAGTTAGCCAAGTGGCACCATCCACAAGCTGTCTTCACTCTCATCTGGGCACTCTTCCAACAACTTATTTTATTTACAAACCAAAACACAGCATTGCTGTTCTCAGCCACCAGTGGGCCATACTAGTGAGTGACCTGGGTTTTTTGCCTAAACAGTCTCTTAAGTAATGGGCAAAATGTTTGCAAAGTACTTGACTTTAATTCCAGTCTGCTCCATGAAAGATTCTTTGGAATGCAGATCCTAATCACTCTCCCACCAAGTAAGTTTTATCCAGTGAAATGTATATCTAAGTACCAATTCAAAGATTCTTGATATGATGTGGTGTAGCCCTCTCACGAGACTCCACCGGAATACGCCTAATGTCACCCACCTGTCACATTTACCTCAGGAAAATATAGATCTGCAACACATGGTAACTTCAGAATACTCCACAGGGCTTGCAAATAGCCCTGTGCAGTGCTTGGAAATACTGCTGAGGCCAGGAGTGACCGCCTAGGCCTCTGAGATTGCTGGCCTTCCCATTACTGTTCCAGTTCTCAGCACCCCTCTCCTGAAATGTCCTTCATAAGGACATCAAGCAGACATGACATAATGCCACAGCTCTTGATATTTCCTGTGAAGAGTTACCTCATCCACAGTTCCAATGGCTGACAGCTAGTTTATTAGCTTAAATAAAGGAGCAAATCAATTAATTAGATTGGAAAGGATGGCCAAGCAGGTGTTGCGATAATAGCACAATGAAGATCTTTCTGAGAATCATCACTGATGTTTATGGAGAATGGCTGGTGACATTCACTAGCCTTTTCATCTCCTCAAAGGTCAGGACTGAAAATTGCTTCATGAGTTCTTTAACTAATTTCTGCAACAGACACAGCAGATTCCAGCTCTGACTTGTTTCCATCCTTCTTTCGCAGGGGCATGTCAATGGGTACTGTGATGCATTCCATCACAGCATTCAGTGATGACAGTTCTGCACCCCAGTTCTGGGAATCAGCCCCTGTACCTGTGGCAGGACAGAAATCACAAAATAAATGCATATGCCGTGATAGTGCAATCAGTCCTTAATTAGGCTCACTAATGAAGCATTATGAATAACATTATTGTTAATTTGTAGTCCTTGCACTTTAAATGAGGAGTTTCCCTTGGGGTTTTGCTCTCCAAGCACTTTATACTCCTGCTAAGTGGGACTCTCTCACATTTATCCATGAATATGGGATAGGTGGGTGTATTTTGGGCTCTCCTGTGTGCAAATGAGTGGTTGGCTTGGGGAGAGGGTATTTAAAATCATGTGTATGGGTGAAAGAGGACAGGAGTGGAAGGTTCAGGGGGATGCTCTTGCTAGGGTCCTGGGGAGGGGAAGGTATGGAATGGGAGGCAGGCAATGTAATCACAGGAGGCATTTTGCATCTCTCTCCCCTGATCAGCTGCTACCTAGTAAAACCTTAGGCAGTCATGTTGATTTCCCCTTCCATCTGGTGGTGGTGGTGTTACTCAACACCTGATCAGTCGACATTAAAACAATTAGATGCATAGCTGTCAACTTTTCCCTTTTTTTTAAGGGAAATCCTATTATTCCGAATAGGATTTCCCTTAAAAAGGGGGAAAGTTGACAGCTATGATTAGATGAGGTGGCTCACTGGATGTACATTAGATCTGGGCAGATGAACTGAGGGTCCCTAACATTTCTTATATTTGCCTGGCTGTTTTGCACAGCAGCAGTCCAGGTCGAATAGTTAGCAGGAAGGCAGGGCAGATGTCTACAGAAATCCCATCATTCTCACCAGGAAACAAATCCAACAGATTTGCTGTATATTTTACATAGGCTGCAGATGTAGGACAGGGATCTCGGTAGTGTATCATTCACCTTGCTGCCCAAGAACCTCACAGACTAAACTGGTGGAGGCAATTTACTGACATGGCACTGGAGAACCGCAGGACATTAGTCTCAAGAGGACTTCAGTGTCTGTATTGATTCTGCCCAGTCTGGGCCTGCTCAGGCCTTCACGGCCAATATGACAGCCATGGGGCTATCAAAGCACATACACAGCCATGTATTGCAGGTATTCATTACAAAGATCAGTGTGAGTGATCTTGTGGTTTGGAGGGCAGGGGGGTGACTATTGCCCTATTATCATGGATAGATCTCTCTCTGGTGAAATTTGGACCTGCTCTTACTGAGCCTCGCTGTAGGGGTGGGGGACAAGTTAAGAAGTTCTGCCCCTAGAGGCTAATGGAAATTGGTGGATTCCTTAAAGTTCTGGAAGATTTCCTCTACAGAATAGCTGGTGTTATATACATATAAGCTGTCAGCTTCTAAATATATGCTAATCCTCTCTTTCCTCTTGTTGCCAACCCAGATATGGCAGTCGCTTTTACACTGTGGTACCAATGGAGCTCTCCCTTCCCTCCTACATATGGTTGGAGTTTAGAACTGGAAATAGACCAGGCCAAAAACCACCCTGAATATTTTATCTTGCCACCAGTTCTTTTTGTACTATTGGTGGGTGGTGACCAAGCCATAAAACATTTATTGTACATGTAGGAAAATATGGTGTGGTATGGAAACTATAATAGGAAATTCTCCTCTTTCATGCACTTATGGGACTCTTTCACAAAGGAGATTATTTACAACTAATAATATCAGGTGAAAGGAACAAATAAACCTGAGGACTGCTTGCCACCTCAATGACCCACATTTTTGGCACAGTGGCCCGGTAGGAATGACACAACTAGCAAGCCTGCCCCACAAGCTTTCACCCGCTTGAATTTTAAAACCAGTAAGTTGGTCTTTTCAGTGGGAACTGTGCATCTCTGACTATGCCAAGAAGTCTCCCAGAGAGTGAGTTAATGGCCTTGAATTCCGCAACCTGGTGCCCTCCAGAACTTTTGGACCACAACTCAGCCCCAGCAAGCATGGCCATTGATCAGGGATGAGGGGAACTGTAGGCCAGCACACCTGGAGAGTATCAGGTAGCTTCCCCTGGACCAAACACAAGTATACTGCATATATCTTCCCAAAGCAGTCATCTAACATGGCAACAGAGACACAACTTATCCTGAGGTGACCCTTCATCAACCAGAATTAAAGGATAAGGTCCAGGATCAACCAAAGAGGAATAGTTTCTTGTTCCTCTTCAAAGACAAAAGTAATCATGCTGCCCTGAACGTAGACATTTATAAGGAGCAACTGAATCTCGTGAGCAATCTGTGATGGAAAACGTATGTGAGGTAACCATTTTGGAAATGCTGATCTTGAAATAAAAGCTTACATCAGTGCACTTTACTATGCATTATGAAGACTGGATTAGACATCTTAGATTATCCTGTGTTTAAAATTCATAGCACATTTTCCTGAAGTGAGAAGGTAATTCAATATGTAAGCTTACAAACTACAGCAGAAGGAGAAGAATCAGCATAATAACCACAATACCCCTGGCAGTGTGTATTATGTGTTTTCCTATCGGAGTAAACAGACAAATTTAAAACCAGAAACCAAAAGACAGTAATTAAAATATTCATAAGCTTTTATTTAAAACAAAATTGGCATATGAGGATTCTTGTACATTTCCTTGTCCCTATAACAGGAGCAAATGTTACATCATTTGCTTAAGCTTTCAGAAGTGTAAACGATTATTTATCTATTCCCTTTTCATGTACCTTGCAAGATAGGTTCGGTTGAGATAAAGAGAGGGCTCAAGGTCATGCAGTGAGCTTCAGAGCTGAAGAGGAATTCTGGAAACCAAGCCTTATGAGGAATTGTTGACAGAGTTAGGTATATAGCCTGGAAAGAGGAAACTGAAAGGAAATATGATAGCCATCTTCAAATATCTAAAAGGCTGCCACTCAGAAGATGGAGCTGTAATTATCTGAATGGTTTAATTGATTTTATATATGTATATAGTTATAATTCTAACAATGTTTAATTTTTTTGAATGAGTTACTGTTCTTGTTTATATCTGTCTTGAGTCCCTGTCGGGGGGAAAGATGGGGTAATAGTATTAATAATAATAATAATAATAATAATAATAATAATAATAATGCTGCAAGGGAGCAGTTTCCATCAGGACACCATACAATTTCCATCAGGACACAAAGTTTAACCCTTCATTACCAACTACTGTCATGATGGAAATACACATACACAGCCCTTTAATTAGCAATAGAAAAAAGCTCCCATTGGTGCGTAGGTTTAACATCTGTAAAACTCTGATGAGTTTACAAGTAACTCAACTAGTGTAATGTGCATTTAGGCCCTTAGAGGGCAGAAAATACTGGGCTTGAAACAGAAAACCCCTATAAAGGCAGGTAGATCCCTAGGATAGAGGGATCACTGGTGACTTTTTATGTAATTATTGTATATATTACTCACCTATAGTTAAGTATGTCTCTGGGTAGGCAGAAATGTTTTGCAGTTTGCTTTTGCAGTTTATGCTACTGTGGGAAGGTGTCACGACCACAGGCAGCTAAACTGAAAAAGCAGAACCAACATCTGCATGTGTGGGGGTTTGAGGGAACAATAAGAGTGACACTGAAAATAATGCAATAAAAACCAACATGTATTTGAAATAGATCTGGTTAGAGTGGATGGGTATTCCAAATGAAATAAGGATGCCTGCTCAAATAGAGAAATTATGGTCTGATAATGAAACCAAGGGAAAGCAGGGGTGACTACCTCTTGAATTACAGGGGAAATCTGTGTCCAGATGCAGTGCCTTTGCCCTGTGTCACATTTCTACACAATAATTAAAAAAAAAATCATCCACAAAGATGCAATAGCATCAGAAGGACACACAAATGGGAGGCGCAGGGGTAAGTGGTTGAGGTAACACCCCTTGATCCTGCAAGGATCATTTATCTGAAAATATAAACTTCAGTGGACTGCTTCTCATGCATAAAGAATTGTTCTGCATGGGGCAAACCCCCTAAAAATGGAATCAAAAGAAACCTGCACTGTGGTTTGTCATGTTTGTGGAGGGGCGCACTGGCTATGTGGACAGTAGGAATTACGAGGTGAATAGGGGTAATTCGAGTGAATTTTTCACATGTCCAGGTCAGGTTGCCCTGTTATCCAAGTGTTTCAGGGGGTCATACAAACTATTGGCAAACTTCTTTTTCTGCAAATAGCCATGCAGCATCTTAGAGATGCTGTATTTAGCACCCCCTTAGGAAAAGATGCTTTTGGAGACTGGGTATATAAAAAAGAAAGAACTGTTTCTGTGTCCAGTTCAGGGGCTAGGGAAGCATGAAATACAATGTCAGTCACACTTTGGCCCAAATGCTTATGCTAAATTAACTCTATAGGGTAATCCAAATTTTAAAATAGAGAGGCAGGGGATTTTTAGTTTTTAGTTTTATGTGAGCAAAAATAATGCAGGGGTGCTATCATTGCCAAAGCTCTCCATTTTCTCCATAGTTCCCAAGGTATTCAGCATGCACCCCCTTCCTCAGTCAAGTCCCATTAGAATGAGGGCAAAACCTTGGCTTCATTTGTCCTTGGAGATATCATCACTCTTCCACCTGCGATGGGCTATGTGATGCCTTGACATCATAGCATCCTCAAGTGGTCCCTAATAGGCTGGGAAACATGGAAACACACAAAAAGACGCCATTGAAGTAGCAATGGAAGGCGGAAACAGAGCTTCAGAAGCTGTAAACAGCTGCCAAAAAAAAAAATCACTTTTATGAGGGTTTTGGGAAGTATTCACATAGCCCTGAAAACCACCCCTTTACCTTGAAAATGTGCAGAGATGAACATTCAGTGGAACCCTAATCCTGGGTGTCAACAATCCCCAGGGTTGTTAAATCCTCACCCAGAAAAAGTGCATACAGTTTAAAATGCTCTTAAATAACAAGTGAAGTTGAAGCTGCTGTACTTCTTGTCCTGTTTCATCAGCCATCCTCCTCTGACTGCTGCGGCCAGCAGGACTCCAATTTTGCTGCATAGCAGGCAGGAGAGATGTGTGGATGACAGGGTCAAGGCAGCAGCAGGAGGAGGAGAAACAA